ATGTAAAGAGTCCCCAGTCTTGAAGTCTCGTCAATCTACAGGCACTTCCAATTACTGTTTATTTGCCTATCCTTTTTTCTTTGTGCCAGACAAGATTATGTCTGAATATAGCAATTTTGAACATAGTGAGAATGTACTCGCTCCTTATCTTGGTTTCATTACCTGTCAGTCATAAAAAACTTCCTTAAGCTACACACACCTCTTTTTTCCTCTCTGGGAAATGGATATTATGCCAACAATAACACACACTTCATTATCTTACTAAGGAAATAAATTAGACAGTACATGTAAAGTGCACAGCATAGTGCCCAGGACACTTCAGTACTACATATTTTCAGGTATTGTTTTTGTTGCAAATACTCTGAATATAGTAATATGAATTTTATTTTGTGAAAGGTTTTAATTTAACCAATAATTAAAAATTACCAGGCTGGCAAGATGGTTCAGTGGGTAAGGACACTTGACATATAATCCTGATGACCTGAGTTTTCTCCCCAAACCCACAGTGGAAGGAAAGAGCCAACTTCTGCAAGTTGTCCTCAGGTTTCTACACATTCACCATGGTATGCATACACCAGAACACACACACATCCTGCACATACATACACACACATACATGCAAACACAGAGAAATAATATTTTCTTCCATTCAATAAAATTTTATCTTAAAATAATTTATTCACAGCCAGGAGTGAACCACATGCCTTTGATCTCAGCACTTGGGAGGCAGAAGCAGTCAGACCCTTGTGAGCTTGAACCTGGTCTACATAGAGAGTTACAGAACAACCAGGTCTACATAGTGAAGTCCCTGTCTCAAAAAAATTATTTATTCATTAAAGTAAATCAAAATTCTAAAAGTACAAAAAGAGCTTCCCACTGTCCATTCTGACTTAGTAGGTATTTGCCTTTTTACAGAATTGCACCCAGTATTACAAAGAAAATGTTGCACAAATTATACCTATTATTTTAAGAAGAAATTTTGATGAAAAACAGTTATTTTGACTATCACTATGATACTTTTAATTCTTCTTCTTAATTTAGAGAACATTAGCTTCTGTAATCAAACCCATATAGATGAGACCTTACATATTTAATACAGTGCATTACTTCTGTACAAATAATGGTTTTAATTCTTAACAAAATGGCAGTGCTTTTCAAAAGAAAAAAATTTTCTCTTCAATATGCCTTTATGTTTAAGTGATCATTTTTATTTGAGCTCTGTCAAATTATTTATTTATTTATTTATTTTTAATAGGAAGACAAGGTCTTTGTTATATATATTGAGACAGAGTCTTGCTATGTAGTCCTGGCTGGACTTGAACTTACTATATAGACCAGACTGGCCTTGAACATGCAGTAATCTTTTTTTAATTATTTATTTA